TATGTAGTCTACAGTTTTGAAACTAGATCCTAGATTTCTCTCTTTTCTGTTAGCTGCTTTGGTAAACCTGAGCTACACTGATTTCGTTTGGTTTACGTGCCAATTGGTGTGTATGTGTCCGTTGGTGGTGAGGGGAGGGGGGAGAGAAAGGGGAACGGGAGGCGGGGCCCATTTCCCCATCTGCACTGGCCGTTTGAAGTTAGTACTCTGGTCTAGTGAATTCTTTGCGCCACTGTTCAAGATTATTTATGAAAATCATTCCTGCCTTTTTTTTTTGTTTTATTGAACGTATCTACGTATTTTGTAATCAACGTCACATTCAATAAGCTTGTTCCCAGTTCCTTTATCCAGCCTACTGATTTTCTGGGTTCTAAGGAAACCAAAGTTTCCTCAGGGGAAGGCTGGTAGATGGAATGCCCATCTCCCTGCCCCCACTCCACCCCATGTTCCACCACACACACACACACCCTCCAACCAGGGGCAGCTGCCTCGTCCAGCTTATAGATGTAGGGCTTCTATAAAGAATTTGTTTAGGAAAAAAGTGCTCAGTGGCTTATCAAGTCTGGAATCTGCTGTCCTGGGCCAGTTGTTAAATATACTGTAATACCCACCTTGGGGTCCCCCCTGTGTCCTGCCCGCCCAACCTCCTGATAAGCCATCTTCTCAGCACTTATCCAACCTGAGAAGTTGTTTGTAGGATGAACTTGTCTCCCCTTTCATTATTCTCCTTCCCTCTTTCATGTTGTGCATTAACATGTTTGCACATGAAGACATAAAAGGGGTAATGTTCCCCTTGGCATCCATGCACCAGGGCAGACCAGCCCTCCCTTCCCCTAATGCGGGGACATCTGCCTGTCACTAAGCACCACTGTACCTGCTGGCAGGTGGACTGACTGAAAGTTAATTTTATCACCTTTTCAGGTATTGCCATGAAGCTAACTGGGCTGGAATTTTCAGTGTCATTCTGTTTTCCCTCTGAAAACATTTGCCTTTTACCAGAGTCAGAAAGTTTTCATATTATTTCCACAGTTTCTCAGAAGTCACGGCTAGTGGTTTTTCGATGAGATGCAGCTGTTCCTAAATTATCCCCACCTGGTACAGGCTCCATAGAGCCAGAGCCAAGCAGTTCTGTCAGATACAGTTTCTTTCTCTATTTCATTTACTTTCCCATTTCCCCAAAATGACTTGGAATTACTTTCTTAAATTGTCCATATTTTAACCTTTTGGAAGAGAGAAATGTGAAGAAAGTGTAGGCTGAATTAGTTGACTTAGTCATCTTCACTGCCTGACNGAGCTTGAAGATTTCTCCAAGGGAGGATGGATGGAAGGAGACATCAAAGACTGTCAACAGGAAGCCCAGCCCGGGGGCTGTGCCCTGGCCCTGGTGAGAGGTGGCCCAGGCAGGTGCAGACGCAGTAGGATGCTGGGGCCACGGCTCTGACCTGTGCTGGGTGCCCAGGTGGCGCTGAAATCCAGGCAGTGCCCTGCCCTCCAGCCTTCATTCCCTGAACCCTGAATCTGCCCACCTGGAGGAAGGGATGCCGCTGGACCACCTGGCGCTCCAGGTGCTAACAACAGCCCCTGTGGCCCCTTGTCACCTGGTGGACCGCCTCAAAAGGTCCTGGAGAGGGTGTCCAGGAGCACCGACTGTGAGAAAGCCTGGTCTTCTGTGCAGGCGGCCTCAGACCTATTATTCAAGCCCAGCCCCTTGCAGGACATAGCTTAGCACTGCCTCTTTGCCTCCCCTGGCCTGGTCCCTATGTCCAGACCACTTCTCCAGCTCATCTGCAACTGGCTCAGGCCTCCTCCATCCTCAACTTCTTATTAACATTGAGATTCAAGTCTTCAGACTGGAGCAGGAGGCCCCGGAGTTTCACTGGATGCTGAGTGAAGATGGGGGCTCTGGTAGCCCTGCTGTTGCGTGTTTTCCCTGAGGTTTGGCTGAGATCCCCACTGAGGTCTCCAGTGGAGACACCCGGAGGGCAGGGGAACATGTTTTCCTTTCAGAATGCCCCTCAGAAGTGGGACGGGACCTCAGCGGCATCCAGTGTGAGGCCGCCTGTCTCTTCTCGGGGAGCAGCCGCCCAGCCTCTCCCCTGCTCTCACGCCCTCTCCCTTGGGGAAGCTCCCAGGAGGCCCCAGCTCTCTCCTAGGGCTGACCATCCTATGTGGGACCTGGGGCCGATGTCCCTCCACTTCTCTGTTCACACACACCCCGCCTCCCCTGCGAGCCCCCAGAAGGCCCTCCCAATATAGTTTCTGTGGTGTGACTGAGTTGTATTGCAAAGACCTCAAGAAAAGGGTAGAAACCATCAGATTCTGCCATCAGATTCTCTGTGACCCCGCTGCCTCTTCACACCTGGTCCCCCCAGTGCTCGGGCAACAGCGGCTTTCTCTCAGCCCCCAGCCAGGTGCTCCCTCTAGAGCAGCGGTTCTCAATCTTCCTAATGCCACGANCCCGTGGCCCAACTGCAACTTCCCCGAGGTACTGGGCGAGGAGAGGGCTGGATGCAGAGGGAGACCCTCCCACCCCACCCCCGCGCTGCCCTTGGCTGCTCTGAGGGAGTCGGGCCCTCAAGCTCACTGCCATTCCAGAGACCTCTGTTCCTTAGTCCTTCTCACTCTACATGCCAGACACCAGTGAAGGAGGCTAGACTCCTCGATATAACAATAACAATAATAGCATGGTTATTATTTATATGGTGATTATGATGTACTGGGCACTGGGCTAAGTGCTTTATATACATGTACTCGTTTAATCCTCACAACAACTCTATGACATAGATACTATTATTATCTCCTTTATTCAGATGAAACTAAGGCACAGAGAGGTTAAGTAACTTGCCCAAGGTCACACAGCTAGTAAGTGGCAGAACCAGAGCTTTCACCCAGGTCATCTTGCTCCAGAGTTTGTGTTCTTAACCTGAGAGCAGAGCTGTTTCTGGACCCTCAGCTTAGGCAGGAGACCCCAAGCTACCTCAGGAGAACCTGGCTGAGCCGCCCCCGGCTCTGGGTCAGAGAGCAG